ATCTCGCTCTCTCTCACTACTCCGTCTATCCCTCCACCAGAAAACTAGCGAGAATACATCTTGCAGGAGATGACACGACTCCCTGAGGAGTTCATCAAATCTTCGTTACAGCCAAAACTGGCATTCTACATCAATCGTGCTGTTAGGGATTACGGGTTGCCAACGAATCCCAAAATATCAAGACTTCCTTCCCCACACACGCAAAATTTCAGCTGTCACCTTCTGTTTCCCTCACTGGTATTATGCCTGGATTCAGGGGTGCCTACAGGACTAAGCCTGCTCTTACCGTACTCTCTTCCCCTCAATCTCTCTCTCTCTCTCTCTCCCCCTGCGAGAGGCGAGAGGACTCAACCGGTTGATGGAACGAGGGAAGAGGATATTGGAGAGGCTCCCACACCAATCCTGAACCAGCACCAACCTTATATGTTTTTAAGGCGCGCATAATCTCACTGATCTCGTGCAGACTCTCCTCTTACGCTCAAAGTCATATTTTGAAGGAGAAATATAGTTTCACAGATGAATGTGTTTCGAGATATTGGTTGTAAGAGTTCACCCTGCTATCTGCATTTCCATGTAACTGTTCACCCTTCTATCTGCATTTCCATAGAACTTGTCACCATGCTATCTGCATTTCCATAGAACTTGTCACCATGCTATCTGCATTTCCATGGAACTTGAAAGAAAATATTTATGAAAATGACATATCTTGGAAGTGCCTGACACTTTTGGTGATGCACTGACCTCTTTGTATGGCACTTTTTATGACAACTATTTTTCACATATTTACGTAAACGAATAATAATATATTTCTGTAACACTGATTTTCTATATACACAAATATCATGCTTTCTGACCAACGGTATTTAATAGAGTTGAAACTTCTGAGTTTCAACTCTAGTAAGTAAGAGTAACTCACCTTTGGTATTGTTTTCTTGCCTGACGTTACAAGTCCAACAACTGTCTAGTGTTTCTGTCTTGATTTATAATTACCTAATTTATCAATATTTGCATGTATCTATTGATGTGTCCACCCATCTATCGATATTCCCATCTCTCTGTACATTTAAATCAATGTCCCTCTATACCGCTCTATATCAACGCCTCTCTACTTATGCCTCCAATCTATGCCTCCCTTGTTATGCCTCCCTATCTGTGTCCCGGTCCGTATCTACCAGACTATATATATCTTTTATATATATATATATATATCATTACCAATATCTATATCAATACCTTTCTAATCCACACAACAACATCTCTCCCACACAATATACTCCATATCATTCTTCTCCCCCTCCCACCACAATGCCCACGGCGCCACTAACAACTCAACCATCTACCCCCACACAACACCCGTAACACGATCGTCCTCCCCCCCCTCCCCCAACACCCCCCAACACCCCCCACAGCACTTTACAGCTTCTACTCCACAATACCCTTTCATTCTGCCAACAAAACCCTCAGCTTCTCCCATCCACAATACCTGCCGCTCCGTCCCGACAATATCCTGCTCTATGCTTCTCACAATGCTCTTCTCTAGGCATTACGGCAGCGCACAGTAAGGCATCTAATGGTGTGTCCTTATGAATAGTCTCGGGAATTTCTGTGACTTCGAAACGCGTTAAAAAAATTGTGTTTGGTTTATAAATGGATGTTATAAGTAAAATTTCCTTGTTCGGAGGCTTTTTATAGAGCCTCACTTTTTATTAGGCGATCTGGTAAGCAGAGTCACCGTGGAAGAATGTGTTTCATGTAAATTTTTGGTTAGCAGACTGCAAATAAATCCTGGTAAATACTGGTAAATCCGTGAACACGGAGATTTAGCCCGGCAGGAAGAGACTCTGGCTGATGGGGTGTATTGTATAAGGATTTATTTTGATATAGATGGTGAAAATATTTTATTGAATAAAATATAAAATTTTGGCCTTGGATTTTCTTTCACTGGATGATGGGTAGACAGCAATATTGTGCCTTTTCACCAATTCCGTTTGTTTCTTCATACATATGTACAGAATGTTGCATGATTGTAGATACAATTATTGTGACGGACGGATGTGGGAAGCAGCGTTCACACTCAACAAACATAAAAACATCGCAGAATCCTCTATTTCCACTGTGATTTAGAGCTGGAATTCCATCACGAATATCTGCTCGTGTACTTCCGAACAGAACGCAAAACACAAATTAACTTATCTATTGCTTTCAATATACAGGTGTGTCAGGATTGAACATATTATATTTACCATTAAATTATTATTTGTGTTATTATTTGTTATTAACATTAAATTAAAAGTATTTTACCATTATCTAATATATTCTTGTTCATCAATTCCTATATGAAATATATTTTCACATAATACCGAAAGATTCATATAAAAAAATAACAAACTTTTACTGAATTTAAAATATAGATGTTTACATTGTTAAATTTTTAATGCGAGCTTTTTATATTTTATTTTATATATCAATTTTGTATATCAAAGTATACATGCTCTTCTGGACTGCAAATATTTAATCTGGTTGCTTTCTAGTATCAGTAAATACCGTAAATTTTCACAGAATTTTAACTGGGAATGTAAATGTTGTGTTCTTTCAATATACAACATTTTTCTAATCTTGGGATTTGGTTGTCCTTGAATTATGACATACCTTTACCTTTAATAGGTTAAGTAATAATTGTAATTACGAAGCAATAAGATGCTTATCTTATCATACTAAGAAGGTTAGGTAAGGTCGGTGTTTTCTATGAAGCTTTTCAAGGTAAACTAGTATGTTTAGTATGTCACATATGCACGTATTTAATAAGTCAATATTGACTATACGAAAGTGCGAGAACGGGTTGTACTATTACCTATTCCCATTCATACCTATTTCCCACGCTCTATATGGGCTGATTTCCTTGAAATACATTTTAATTTCAACCTGCCATATGATAACCCGTCCTAGTAAGCTTTCCCAACGTCTAGAAACTGTCGAACTAAAGTGCCCTATTCTAACCTACCAAGATGACCCACGAACAGAAAACGGAAAATATTGCAATTTCGTGAGCGCCTATCATTTTCTAGTACGATAATTTTGGCGTTTAGGTAAATTATACGTCAAAATGCGACGCTCTTTTACGAGGACAGGTTTGATATAGAGGACAACCACGGAGATAACTATCATGGGATTTATCTATATCTACCATATTTCCCACGAACTAACCTTAAACGCTCATTTTAAAAGGAAAAAAAAAAGGACCCATATTTGTGAATGACAACCACGGAATTTCTTAGAACGTCACGCCATCAAAATTAAAAAACCCCGATTGGAGGATAAATTAAGAGTTACCATTCCCCAACCCAATAACACACACCCCAAAAAAAAATATTTAAAAAAACGTGTCTCTATGAAAATAAACTTTCCGTCCTTGTCAAATTCAAGTTGTTTATGTGGCATCGCCAAAATATTCCATTTTCACCCTGGAGTTGGTTTCCAGTTTTAATTCCAAGAAGTGCTTGGTCATACGTTACATAAAAGGTGTACTATTCTGGCCTATATTTTCTCCCTTTGTCTTCCCAATCAATCTAGATGAGACTCGCTGTAAAAAAGAGACACAGACAGACCTCAAGGCCACAGTGACACTGCTGGAGTTATCCCTTTTATTCTATTAATCAGCGTCATCAAGGCTTGGTTTGAACAATTTTCTAAAGTTGATTCTTGATATTGATTTCCGTCGTCCGTGTTGTTGTATAGATGAGAAAGGTTGAGAGGGAGTTCGTAGGAATTGTTTTTTTAATATTTTTAGTAACATGGTGAATAGGTAGGTTGTTAGAGATCTTCACTGATGCTCTTTGATCCACCAGGGGCTACGTGGAGCTACCTGTGATCCACCAGGGGCTACGTGGAGCTTCCTGTGATCCACCAGGGGGCTACGTGGAGCTTCCTGTGATCCACCAGGGGCTATGTGGAGCTTCCTGCGATCCACCAGGGGCTACGTGGAGCTTCCTGTGATCCACCAGGGGGCTACGTGGAGCTTCCTGTGATCCACCAGGGGGCTACGTGGAGCTTCCTGTGATCCACCAGGGGGCAACGTGGACCTCCCTGTGATCCACCAGGGGGCTACGTGGAGCTTCCTGTCATCCACCAGGGGGCTACGTGGACCTTCCTTGTGATCCACCAGGACCGTCGTGGACCTCCCTGTGATCCACCGAGGACAGCAACGATTCCCTGTGATCCACACAGGCCAACACAAAGCCCTTATGATCCACCCCGACCCAGCACGAATCCATCCCTGCGATGGTCAGAGCTACAGTAAGGAGCACCGGTGATCCACCGAAGCTTGCAAGCAATCCCTGTGATCCTCCAGGTCCAGCCACGGAGCCTCTGGGATTCGATACGGAGCCCCTACACCTTCAACCATCCCCGGAAGGCAACAACGAACATTTCTTAAAGAATACTTGCAGTGACTCGCCGCTAAACTATCAGAATAACCTTTCTCTTATCCTCCATATTCTTATCCTTATTTTCCTCTTATCTTATCCTTATCCTCCTCCTCCATCCAAGCCACCCGACGCCTCCTCAAAAATCTACAACAAAACTTTATTATTCCCCCCCCCCCTAGCACTAATAAAATTCTTCCTTGCGTGTTTGACATGATTATGCGCGCGCGTCTTTGTGATGTCTTCGGTTCTGCGTTTATTTCGCGTTTATAACCTGTTTTTATATCACGCTGTTCGTCTCGGGTTATCTCTGATACAGGGGGTTCGAGTCGTGTATAAGACCCGGGATTGCTGGGAGGGGGGGGGGGGAGGGGGGAAGGGAGGAGATTACATTATTTTTGAATGCCTCTTTTAAACATTTTTATATTCTAACATTTCAAGGAAACTATCGCCCAGTCTCGGCACTTTTCTCACGGCTCGACGTCCCCGTCCCGCCCAGTTTGGTGCCCAAATGGTTTCTCTCCATTACTGCCGCTCTGAAACTGACCCCCAAGCTTACAGTAAGGTTCTGAGAGTTTTATGGCGTCCCACCGTGTACCCCTGCGTCCCACTGCGTCCTACCGTGTATCCCTGCGTCCCACTGCGTCCTACCGTGTACCCCAGCGTCCCACTGCGTCCTACCGTGTACCCCTGCGTCCCACTGCGTCCTACCGTGTACCCCTGCGTCCCACTGCGTCCTACCGTGTACCCCTGCGTCCCACTGCGTCCTACCGTGTACCCCTGCGTCCCACTGCGTCCTACCGTGTACCCCTGCGTCCTACCGTGTACCCCTGCGTCCCACCGTGTACCCCTGCGTCCTATCGTGTACCCCTGCGTCCCACCGTGTACCCCTGCGTCCTATCGTGTACCCCTGCGTCCCACCGTGTATCCCTGCGTCCTACCGTGTACCCCTGCGTCCCACTGCATCCTACCGTGTACCCCTGCGTCCCACCGTGTACCCCTGCGTCCTACCGTGTACCCCTGCGTCCCACTGCGTCCCACCGTGTATCCCTGCGTCCTACCGTGTACCCCTGCGTCCCACTGCGTCCTACCGTGTACCCCTGCGTCCCACCGTGTACCCCTGCGTCCCACTGCGTCCTACCGTGTACCCCTGCGTCCCACCGTGTACCCCTGCGTCCCACCGTGTACCCCTGCGTCCTACCGTGTACCCCTGCGTCCTACCGTGTACCCCTGCGTCCTACCGTGTACCCTTATATACTGTACGGGTTGTTTGGTGTTGTATCTTTCAACGGTGTAAACCAATTCCTTTCATGCAAAAGGATTACTTGACTGAAGAGAGAGCAAACTTCTAGCTCCTGGTCCCCCAACCAGGGCGTCGTGGCCCTCCCCTTGTTCCTCATACACCCCCCCCCCCATGATCCCCACCGTCGGGTGGGTCGTAACAGCCCTAACTGCTTGTTCCCTCGTCTTCCTGTCAGAAAGCTGTTTTTGGGTATCATAGTTTGTTTGGTCAAAGTTTGACGCGAAGATTGTAGATATAAAGAAAAACTCGAGCTCTCACACACACACACACACACACACAAACACACACACACACACAGGGGTCTGTGGCTGAGCGGACTGCGCTCGGCACTCCTAGTAATCCTAGGGGACCGGGGGATCGATCCCCGGCGATGGCAGAAACGAATGGACAGTTTCTTTCACCAGTTAATCTAGCAGTAAAATTAGGTACCTGGGAGTTAGACAGCTGATACGGGCTGCTTGGTGTGTGTGTGTGTGTGTGTGTGTGTGTGTGTGTGTGTGTGTGTGTGTGTGTGTGTGTGTGTGTGTGTGTGTGTGTGTGTGTGTGTGTGTGGAGGAAAAAAACAGTTGACAGTTGAGAGGCGGGCCGAAAGAGCCACCAGTTCTCAACCCCCGCAAGCACAACTAGATGAACACAACTAGGTGAATACAACGCATACATGCACGCAAGCTGGCCCACTAAACAAAATTTCCTACGGCAGCTTGGGGGAAAATACACAGCTGAAACCTTATTTCGGGGGCGGGTCATACACTCCCTGGCAGTATTTTCCAGGGTGATATTACACACTCGGTCACCCCTCACCCCCACAAATATCCCTGGGTGTATAACTCACCAGTTCTCACCCCCTCCTTTCACCCCTATCCCCAACTCCCCACTAGACCCTATTCCCTACTAACACCCCCCCCCCCCACCCACTGAAATAACCCCCACCCCCCTCTCTATCAGCCCTCTACCCTTTATTTGATTTCCATAACTTGTTTCATCCCTTCCAGTGGATATTGTTTCATATATTGTGTTAGTGCTATCGGTGCTGATGGTGGTGGTGGTGGTAGTGGTGGTGGTGGTAGTGGTGGTGGTGGTGGTGGTAGTGGTGGGGGTGGTGGTAGTGGTGGTGGTGGGGGTGGTAGTAGTGGTGGTGATGATGGTGGTGGTGGTGGTGGTGGTGATGGTTGTTGTCTGGGTGGTGGTGGTGGTGGTGATGGTGGTGATGGGGGTGGTGGTGGTGGTGGTGGTGGTGATGATGGTGGTGGTGGTGATGGTGGTTGTCTGGGTGGTGGTAGTGTTGAAGGTGGTCGTCTGGGTGGCGGGTGGTGGTGGTGGTGGTAGTGATGGTGATGGTGGTCGTCTGGGTGGCGGGTGGTGGTGGTGGTTGTGGTCAAAGTGGTGGTACTTGCCTAACTGTGTCTACTAGGTAGTAAGGTCTAGCTTGTCATTCCCAGCGCCCATTTCATTACAATTTAACTATTCTAACGTTCAAATTCTTTGTCGAATCTGGCCGTTGTGCAGATTACCTTGAAGGAGTTATGAATTAAGTTTCTAAATGTTCTTATATTAGCCAGCGTCCCAAATACTGGCGATGATTGATTGATGAAGATTAAGCCACCCAAGAGGTGACATGGGCATGAATAGCCCGTAAATGGTAGAATTTTTTTTGGAGTGAATGTGATCTAACTTAAGAAGCTTGGTGAGGCATATGCTGCTGATGTTATTCTGTATATGTGTATCTGATCTGCAGTTACCTTCCACTTACGAGCAGTTATAGTCGCTCTCTTGAGCATCATGTTCCGTGTGTTCACCTGACATCCTGCTTATGCTTCTGATCACTCCTATTATTGAAGTCACATGATTTCCCTTTCCTCTTCCATCTCCCTTCCTCTTCTTACACCTCTTAACCTTCTTATCTGTCTACACTTCTTATATATATATATCTCTTTTTTTTCCCTTCAGTTGCAATCTCGCTATACCTATTCTTAGAACTCTTTCCCACCACCCTTCCCATCTATCTACACCTATTCTTACTCCTCCCCCTTCCCATTTTCTACGTCAATCTTAAACCCCTCCCTCATAACACCCCTTCCCCCAAACCCCATCACCCCCCTATTCCCCCCCCCCCTTCCAGGAAAGATGGGTTCCAAGCTTTTCCAAACTACTTGTTAACTTTTCTCTAAAGATGAATGGGACTGGACTTGTTCATTCAGTCGCGTCGTGTATACGATTTGTTGGGTTTGGCATTTTTGTTCGAATTTTGTGTTCGAAGTCTGCTCGGCAAAAGTTCTGGCTGTCGGCAAAAAGGAACATTTAATTTAATACTTCCAGTCGATAGGTGTGGGTGGGGGGGGGGGGTGTATTTACATCATGTTCGAATTGAATTAATTTTTTATGGAGTTCGTATTTAATTGTTAGTGTTTTTGGTCAAGAGAATATTAATTGTATTATTTTTGTTATTATATGTAGTGTCACAAGGAAATTATTGGTCAGATATGATATATTTTACGCTAAGTGAGCGTTGATGTTACTTGTGTATGCTGATTAGTTATTGCACAGCATCAGCATGAGTTAACCATCCACCCCTCCACCAGGCAGCATGCACCAACCATCCACTCCTCCACCAGGCAGCATGCATCAACCATCCAACCAACGCTTATGTCCACAGCTTAAGTCCAAACTCAACCATTCTGTCAACAATAAACATTGTGCATACATACAAATTTATATTACCCATGAATTTTACCCGCAGTAAAAGTGGGTTATGTAAACACCAAGCGAAAAATAGAGGCCGGAGCGAGAGAGAAAGCAGAAAGAAAAATCAATACCGATTAAATACATTTTAAAATACCCACAGAAGGAGTCTGCAAGCAAAAATTGAAAAGTACAAAATTGTTGGTAGTGTAGAGAAAATAATCATATTCTGATACTAAAGCAAATATAAAAGCGAAAACAGGTTACAGTGTTTTGGAGAAAATAGTCAAAATTGCATGTTATTTGGTGTTTTTTGTCGTAAAATATTTTACATTGCTCGACTAACATAAACCCACTCGGCACGCGGACTAAGGTTTGGAGCTGACCAGATAAGCCAATAAGATAAAGAGATAAGCCATCTCTTTCACTGCCCCAGAGAAAGTAATCTCGCCACACTCAGGGGTCGGAAATAATAGTGCGAAAAGCCGGGACGACTATTTAGTACCGTCAAGCAACCACTGTAGGACGGAAGAAACAGAGAAACCATGATTATGACATAAACGATTCTTAGAGGCATTAGCAATAGACAATGTACAAACGTGGACATCTTCCAGAGAAAGCTGGATGGTTTTCTTCATGAAATGCCGGATCAACAAGGGCTGCAGTAGGTATGTGGGCCTGCGGGCCACTCGAAGCAACAGCCTGTTGGAACAAGCTCTCACAAGTCAAGCCTGGCCCCGGGCCGGCCTTGGTGAGTAGAAGAACTCCCAGAACCCCCATGCAACAGGTATCCAGCAGGGATCCAGCAGGTATTGTCTAAATTACATTCCAGATTTCATAACCAGTGAAATCCTTCTACTTCTTCAACTTATAGTGTAACAGTCACTAAAATTACCTGTAATTTACCTGCAAGAGGTTTCGAGAGTTCTTCTACTCTTCAAGCAGATATTGCAATAGTTTTTTTACATGGTGGAACGAGGTTTGCCATCTATTAACCAGAAAAAAATCCTTTTCTCACACACCGACATACGCACTGACCGCTCCCACTTAGAGGTCATTCATCAAACATTTAAGAGACCACTTAAGCAACTTGTACATATTTCCGTGGCAATAATGGCTTATTCTATATTTATTAAAGGGTTTACAAGCTTGAGAATGTAATTTACAATACAATTGAGACCTCAATTTACAAAATTAAAGTCGTTCTCAGCCCAAGAGTGTTATTGTAATAACTAAATAACCTCTTTAAATGTTCAATATAAGCAAACTAAACCGTCGTCATTGTGAAAAATGTACAGATATTATTATGTTATTATTATGAACAATTACGTCGTAATTTTTGGTTACGAAATGGTTGACATTCTTGACTCCACTATCTGCCTGATTATGGTACTACGACCAGAGGTTTTGCTGAGCCTGAGCCCAGGAGCACAACCTGTTCTCTCATTTAATGCACAGCAATTCCGACGGTTTCACAACGGCCCAAAAAAATGAGCTTCGATGGATCATGTGGGAACGAAGGTAATTTTTTCTAGGTGGCATAGCAAACCCAGAATAAAGAGGCAAGGTAAAATTTTGAGATGGTTTCTAGGACAATTTTGAGATGGTTTCTAGGACAATTTTGAGATGGTTTCTAGGACAATTTTGAGATGGTTTCTAGGACAAAGACGGAAAAACTTTTAAGTGTTCCTCTTTGTGAGAATACAAGACAATTGTATTCAGCATCACCAATAACTATTCTGGGAGGTTGGTTATCGTATTATCGATAGAGGGAAGTGGAGGTTGGTTATCGTGCAGCCCCGGAGGTGTGTGTGTGTGTGTGTGTGTGTGTGTGTGTGTGTGTGTGTGTGTGTGTGTGTGTGTGTGTGTGTGTGTGTGTGCACACGATCGAGAGGTAAATGGAGCCAGATGCCTACAGTAATCATAGCAAACTTTCATGGTTCCAGCACCATCCTGTCTCTGATAACAACCTTGGTGCAGATGGGCGTCTTCAGCAGCGAACATATCGGGGAAAAATTGAATCCTGCAGTCAGAGTGTCGACGAGCGAAGCGACCGCAAATCTATTGGCAATCCCGAGTTTTAAGTTTCCTTTTAAAAAAGTTGATTCAACTCTTGACGAAGCGTCATCGCTTCCTCCCTCTTCTCCCCCCCCCCCTCCCCCCTTTCCCTTCTCCTACTTCTCTCTTTCTCCTCCTTATTTTTCCCTTCCAATCCCTCTCCTCGGTCCTTCATTCCCTGACGACTTGAGACTCCCGGAGGCAGTGGGATCCGAGCCACGGCTTGGATTGCGACCCTAAAGTTAATGAAAACGTCTTGCGAGAGAGACAGTAGCCACCCGGAGATCCA